AGCATAAATCCCAACCAACTCTTCATGTTTGACTTAAAGAATTTAAGGTTATAAACACTCAAGCCAAGATAGAGAAGTAAGCTAATTAAAGTTGCCTGAAATCCGTGCAAAGAATAAAGTAAGCCTTTAAAATCAAATTAGGACCCCCGTAGTCTTACTCGTAGCTTATTCTTTTAGCTACCTAGTAACGTTGTTCTAGCCTCTTAGCCATGAAAAGGTGTAAACTGGATGCTGTCTGAGGAAAGTAATGATTAACTAGTTTAAGCAGCCTTAATACCACGACTACTGCTACTCCCATTATCTCTCTTCATTAGCTTTTAAAATTGAGTGAAGTAATTATAAATAACCCAAGGAAGTATTAGCAAGATACCTGTATATGTTAATAAATATATAAAGTAAATGTAAGATAAAAGATATTTAAAATAGTGTTAGTAACTAAGAAGGAAAATCTAGAGTAAGTACTAGTACGGACCACTATTTTATTCTTTTAGCCTAGTGTGTAAACTTATATTATTTTATCTTATTGACTTTAACTACAAAACTTCTTTACTATTATATTTACATTAAGAACTATGATAAAGTGTGCCCTAATTCGGATAATACTAATAATACAGGCCACTAAAAAGCTAAACGGAAAGCTTCAAAAAAGAAGCGAATAACGACGCCTAATACTAAAGTACTTAGCTTAAATTTTTTTTTGATAAAATTTATTAGAAAATAAAAGTATGCCTGTAAAGTTAAATAGCTGAAACTATTTTAGTACAAAACAAAATATTAAAGAAACTATACAAATAGTAACAAATTTTCAAGGAGGCTAATTTTAGGATAAACAAAAATGAGCACTTTTTTAATTTTGGTTTGTGTTTCTTAAATTTTTTAGAAAACTATTTTTTCTTTAAATGTAATTCACCTAGGCATGCTCTAACCCCTACCGCTAATATTTTTATCAGTCAGTTAGCTTATAATTCTCCTTGGACCTAACAGATTTAACTAATTAATTTGAAAAATTGAACTTTTATTAGTAAAATATTTACTTTTAAGGAACATTGATAGTTGTAAGAACATTAGTTTTTGCCTTGGTCATGAGTTGTGACAAATTTTATAAAATAAATGATTATTTTTAAATCTTTATTGAGCTATTCGTGTTATGAACATTTGTCTTACCACCTTTGCTTGTGCGAACAAGGGGCTTGCACGACAAAATGTCCAGTAAGATTAACAATAATAGGAATTTTAACTCTCAAGCTTTTCTGTAGTTATTAAGTGTAAAAGAAGAGAACATTAACAATCTTTCTAGGGTTCTTCATTTATTTAAATTACTCTCCATATAGTAAACTTAAATACCTTGATCTCTTTATATCACTTAAATTGCTATCACATTTAAAACTTTGATTTTAATAAATAAAAGTTACAAAAATCATGAGCATTGTAACATCTAGTAGAACTACTCTAAAGCCTTTTTAAAATTTTATAGTTCATTATAGCTATTAGATAATAGTGTAGATAAGCTAATTATGGGTTTGACACTAGATTAGCGCCTAATAGCTACTTGTGCGATTATTTTAAAAAACACACTCTTAATATTTAGATTAAAATTATATATATTTCATAAATTAATAATTTTATCCGTCTCATTTCATTGGCTTTCATAATTACGTCAAAAAACGAATAAAATAATTTTAGAAAAAAAATTCGGTGAAATTTAAAAAAATTACTATCCCCCCGAATTCCTCTAGTTAAAGTTTTTAGCATGAAAAAACCTAGAGAAGTTCTCTTTCAAAATGCTATCTGGTTAATTCTTAAAAAGTGCTTGCACCCCTAAATGATGCAGATGAGATCGAGATAAAGTTAATTATTAAACTAAACTAAATTGTAAAAAATTGTTAATATTTAATTCTATATAATTCTATAAAATAATTTTATAATCCAAAAAAATAAAACAGAATACGATAGTATTGTTTACCAGGATAGTATATATAATGCTACAGGTTATCTGGATGCACCCACTTATAAACAGTACCAGCTAAAAACTCTATTTTGTACCTCTAGCAAAGAGCACCGAATTTCAAGGCGCATCGAAAGAGGGTTAATACTATTTACTATAAACATATACAGCGTTTTTGTCTCGTATTTTTATTTTTAATTATCTTTCATTTTTTTATACAATCACCACTTATAATGAATGAGCAGTTTTATCATCTTTCTTCAAAAAAAATACCTTTTATATTTAAACTGTAAATTAAAAATTACTAATAACGAGAAACACTTTTTACACAAATAAACAAAATTTTTTAGTAATAAAAACAAGAATTAAAAAATGATTGCTATTATTATAATATTTCGAACTTGGGAATAATTTTTTTTTTAAGAATTATTTGAGATAACATAAGCTTATTGTCAAATTTATAAGACTTTATTTTTATGATTGAAAAGTTTTAAAGTTTACTTTATCTTTACGCAAACTACTACATGGTAAGTTAATATTAACGAAATAAAAAATAATTAAAAGGGTCAAAAAATCTAAGATAAAATTATTTACGAATAAAGAAAAAAATAATCAGTTAAAAATGTTCCTGGAAAATCTTAAATGCGGCTATCTTTTATTATAAACTAGTTATAACCAACGGCAATTTTAAACATTAGAGCAACAGAAATAATTTAATAATTAACGTAACAAAAAAAAATCTTAAATGAGAAGCGACGGCAGTAAAAAGCGGAAAATATTAAAACCTATAAACATTTCTTGAAAAAAGGTTCTTACCAATTCAGTTTGTTATGTTAGTCACGTAAAAACAATGCATACAGTTTACTGAAAAGAAGTATATTCTGTTGAAAAATAGATTTTTTGTAAGCAATTACTTTGCAAAGTTTTTTATAAAGTAAAATTGAAAAATTTTTAAGAACAAGCTTCTTCAATACTTTATATAACTAGTTATTTTTCAACCTTTTTTAAAAGCAAAAGCATACAGACTTAATAAAGTAAAAAAAGTAAATTTATAAGTAAGGATATTGTAATTATAATGATATATTTTAGATAGGCTAATCACTGCTATTTAAAATTTTTCTGCTTAAAAACTGTCTTAAATATCCATTAGAGCCTGCCTCGTCGTTAATTATTTTGAGATAGCCTCTAAATCATGTAAAAAATTTGTTTTGAACTTTTATGAATTTTTAACACTAATAAAAAGAATTTTTTTTTTAATTTACTAACTTATTTATATGTGCCTATACAAGACCTTTATGGTAGCTGTACCACCATATATTTTTTTATAAAATAAAAAGGTTATATTTAAGTGTACAAATAGAGATGGGATGTTTTACAAAGTTAACTTCCATCTTGGACAAAGAAATGAAAGTATATATCCAGTTGAGTGTAAGAAATAAAGAGAGAGGCCTGAATTATTACTTTCAGATTGAGAGAAAAATAAATAACAGATAAGTACTTTATAAATCAACTAGGTATTGAATTAGTGCTTAATTCTCGGAATTCTATGGTTCCGATATTAAATGAATCAACTAAATTATTAAGAGATTCAAATGTTCTTCTCGTACAATTTACTAATTTACCTTTTACAAAGGATTAAGATAAGCAAAAGGCGTTTTCACAAAACAGAGTGAAAAAGCAAGTAAATTAACTGATATTTACTAAACGTATTTTTTGCAAGTCAATTATTTTCAAAAAAAAAATCTGTAACTGTTGAAATTAATTGAAAAGTAAAAAAAATAAAATAAAATCGAAACGGTCTTCGTAAAAAAAAAGGGATAACAAAATGACCCTGATGGACAGTTTTTTTATAATTAAGGTAAAAAAAATATTAAAAATTAAAATAAAAAACGGTTACTACTCAAATTTAAATTATTTTAATTGTGGAATTTAATAAAATTTATAGTAGCAAAAAATAAGCACAAAAGAAAGGCAGGTCTCAAAGCAGTAGTTTATGAAAACTATACAGCTCATGTGGATATCATTTTGAATATGGTAGCTGTAGTCTAATATTGCCTTTAAAAAATTATAAATTATAAATTATATATTGATCAAAAAAAAATTATTTTTATTTAAGACGTTCACACCAAAGTTCCACAACTCCACTCAACCATAGCTAGCTCACCTCATTACTCTGCTAATAAAATTAGTCTCGGCTAAGCTCGCGCATCTTTCATCTTTCCATTATAAAATTGTTACAAGCAGTTGCGAGCCACTACAAAGGGGTTAAAAGACAAACACACAGTTAAAAGGACCCGTAACAGATCCAAAAGTAATTTTTATATACAAGGAACCAATAACTATTATTTTTATCTTATCTTAAAAGAGTCCCCATAATCTAAATTGAAGTAAAATAATTAAGGCTCCAGAATTAAGAGGCACTAAATAAGGCACGTTATTAATTTTTTTTAGTTAAAGCCACTTAAGAAGCCTTTGTTGGCCGTATCTTAGTTCTTAGTAATACTGTAGAATTCATGCTACTTTTTATAATTTATTATTTATAAAAAAAAAATTATAAGCGGAATGCGCTACAGTTTTACTTTAATCAAACGCGGAACACAGTTATGAATAATATATAAAATTTTTAAATTTTAATGTGGGTCTCAGTATTTCTTCTCTCGAAAAAATACTTTTATAAGTTACGTCACTATTTTTATTATAAACTTTCTTAAACTACAGCTCAAAAAAATATATATATAACGGGGTTTGTGAATGCAGGCGTTTTATGTTCTAATTTTAACAGGTCAGATAATGCATGACTCCTTTTAACCTCGAGGTCAATATGGCCATTTATTCAGTAAATGATTGGTTTAGAAAATTCTAAGGTGACTAGCAACATTTTTTATTTGTTCGCAACCAATAATATCAATATAGCTTGTTTTCGTTTTTCGTTCTTTTCTATGGGTTCGTTAGGTTTTAAATGTGCTATTTTAAAGGCTGAATCTTTTCAATATATAAAAGTTGGGTAGATCCACATTTAATATGTAATTATGACCTTTTTTTGTGGTCCCTTCGGTCGGATCTAGCGAGAATCTTTAGACATCAAATCCTCCGTTTGTAGGTATGGTTGGGAGTAGGGGCGGTACTATCGACGATTTACTGGTGCCTCCATTGTTTAGCTTTGGTTTGATTGCTGATGTCCAGTATGTAGATCGAGATAACGGAACAGACTTTTCAGGGAGTAAAGTCAGAAGGTATAGACAATCATTAAAAAGCCTTGAAAGGGCTGTGAAAGTTTGGAACAAAGAAATTTCGGGTACGGAAAAGATTTCTACGCTAAATATTGGTGTAGAGCTTAAATACAATACATTTTTGAATCAGAATACAAAAATAATGTTTATATGTCAGTTAGGAGATTTAATAGACGGTTTTAACAGGGAGGATGGGACGAGATACATTGCTATCAGGGAGGTGTTAAAAGTTTTAAAGAAATGCATCTGTAGAAAAATATACCACTGTATAGGTAACCACGAATTATACAATTTTAAGCGAGAAGAACTACAGCGTTTACTGAAGGTATATAAATGTTCAAATTTTTCATGTTTTTGCCATCAAAGTTCTTCGATTTCGAAAAGGAATACTCTTCACGGTCAATATAGTAACATTTGTAAGCTCCAGCGTTCGTTCTATTCCTTCTCTCCCTTTCCTGGTTGGTCTTTTATAATTTTAGATCCTTATTTTTATTCAACAATTTCACCTGAAGCTATTTCTCTCTATTTTAAAAGCAGTGATATAAACATTTCTAATTTGCCCAAGAACTATGATAAGCAAAAACTACAAGAATTATCACGTCTCTACAAGGAAAGCGCTTACCGATATTTATGTAAATATAATCCAAACGATTTGAAATCTGATGCAGATTGGCTTACCGGACTAAAAGGCCCTAAAATGCGTTTTGCTCCGTTTAACGGAGCATTCGGGGTTATTCAAAGGGAGTGGCTGAGGAAAGAACTAAAACGTTTAAAAAATATGAGGCATTACGTTGTAATTTTTACACACATCGCCCTCCATCCCTCTAGTTGTATCAACAGTTGCTTAGTTTGGGATTACGAAGAAACTTGGGAAATATTAAGAGAGAATAACACTCAAAATGTATATGAATATTTAGAATCTAACGATCGTAATTTATATAGTGAAAGTAACCAAAATCTTTTTACGCAACTACCTAATGAAAGTAAAAAATATTTAAAGTGTAATAGGAGAGTGAAGTGTGAAAGTAGTAGTGAAGACGGTCATATTAAGTTTTATAATGATATTACTAACCAAAAAAAAGATCAGAATGGTTGTAATAATACAAAAAAGGGTAATAATTATAATAATAATAATAAAAACAATAGCGCCTTTAGTATATTCGCAGAAAAAATTTCTTCGTCCCATTCTTTTTCGGAGCGCAACGTAGTGGCAGTTTTCAGTGGACACGATCATTCTGGAGGGTACGGGGTAGATGAAGTAGGGATTCACCATGTTACACTGGAAGCTCCCCTTGAAGCACCAGAAGACGTATTATCTTTTGCCACTGTGGAAGTGTACAACAACTATTTACTAGTAAAAGGTCGCGGCTCAGTAACCTCTCGCAAGTTAGTTTTTAATGGGTAAGTGATTGGGATATTGAACATTGTGGTGTAATTTCATAGTTTCTTGCGGTTTCGATTAAATGAAAATTATGATAAAATAATTTTATATATTTACACTGGCTATAAGAACGATTTAAAAAATTTATTTTTAAAGTCTATTAATATTTGATATATTTACTTTTTCTAATCTGATTAAGTTATTATTGTTAAGTAGTTTTTCATACTTAGTTCTTAGATTTAATGGTTTATTCCTATATATTTTTAGGTACTGAGTGGCTAGAAAGGAGGTATAGCCAAACACTATGAGTTATAAACTACCCTTTGAGTGGCCAGTTTTCTTATTTATTACCTTAAAAAAAAATAAAAATTAGGTAAGATTAGTTCGTCTTAGCATAAATTTTTAATCTCTGAAAGATTATAAAATCCCAGCTACTTGGCTGGCTAACGTTACTTATTCAAAGTAGGCTAAGAGAAGCTACAATTATATAAATTAAGGTTTTATTAGTGCTCGTCCAAGTCAAGAAACTTCATTCATATATTTAAGCTATTGATAAAGTTAGTCTCCCTTTTTTCGCTACGCACAGCAATACGACTTGTATGTGAGTACTCCTGCAGAAAACTCGAAAAATACTTTATTTATAAAAAACTGTAAAGGGCATCGGAGGTGTTTTTTAATTTATACAAAAAGATTTTGCGGTTGACACTGAAGCAGATAATTCGGATAAAGCAGTTTTCCTTAAAAAATTCCGAGCTTTTACAAAATTTTAGTCAACAAAAAAAGAATTTCCGCAAATACCTTTGATGTGTGAAGTCTGTTGAAATCGTACTATTGTATGCATATTCCTCTTGGCCAAATTCGTAGGCAACATCAAATTATAATCATTCCTGTTTGACTATTAACGTTTCTTAAAATAACTTCTTTCCTTATTTCTTTGTAGTTTAATTTTAAGCACATTGCTACCATTCGGACTTTAGTATTTATTTAATAATTCCAATAAAAATCCGAGCATTGAACGAAGCAGCATTTTGCAAAAAGGTATTAGATATATTATGATTAAACAAATTCTTCCAGATTATACGAGTTAGGTTTATAGTAACTACTAACGAGCACCCGCTAGACTTCTATATTTATTATCTCTATATATTTTTTCTCTGTTCATGTAATTAAAGTTATAATATTCGGCTTAAAGATATTTTAAAATATAAAATTTTCGAAACAACTTATTAATTTATTTTATTGCTTTTCTAAATAAAAATTTTAGTAAAAGATCTTGCGGTAAAAACATAGCAAAAAGTAGCCAAAAATTATAGTTATTAATAAGTATTAACCTAAATAACACTAAAGTTTACTCTCACTTTTCTAAGTAAAGTACACTTGAAAATTTAACAAATTTTACTATTAAGAGGGGGCTATAGTAAAACCGGTTTACAGTTTGCAAGAAGGAATTAAAATCTTCAAGGCAGCAGGCACTAAAAAGTTTACAATTAAACAAAGAGAGCGCTTCATATTTTTAGGCCATTTCATATTTTACTTGAACTTAAAAATTATATTTAAAAAAATCTTACTTAGGTAAAAAATAAAACCTTATATATAGATCACAAATCTTTAGGTTTTTAAATTAGTTTAAAGACAAGTTTTATTCATTTTTAATTTTCTTGTAGCTTTAATTACAGTTACATAACGGATGTAAGAGTAAGGGACGTTTCAAAAAAAGGATATTACGAAATTACTTCTTTACACAAACTTCTGATAAATTAATATCAAGTTGCACTCATAAAATATTTATTAAAAATATGAAATTGTAATAAGAATAAAAATAAATGCCTTTTGACCTATAATCTTTCAAGACTCGTTTAAGCTTATTTTAGCTTTATTCCAAAAAAAACCTTACATTATTATTTAAAAATTTGTTGGTAAAAAGAAGAACAAAAATTAAATTCTTCATTGTAGATTTTTAAAGAGTTTAAAATAAGTACGACTTTGACGGAACTTTTCTCCTTTAATAAATGCGTATAAATTAAAAAAAACACACAAAAAATTAAATAGTTGCAACTGACTCAACACATAAAGTGGAAAAAAAAAATTGGAGCAAAGTATGCAGTTATCTTCCTTATTTTTAATTTTTATGTATTCCCCAACTTTTTATTATCTACTCAAAACTACACAATAATTTTTGATATTCTCAGTGCACTCACAACTTTAATATATAATATTAAGTCCAGCCTTATTTAAAAAAAAAGTTTTAGAAGCCTCACATATTTTTGATCCTCCAGCAGAAAAATGTTTTACTCAAAAGATATACTAAGTAAAAAGCACGGCAAGCTTGGAATCGTATGGTACGCTGTTATTATTACTAGAAAAACCCTTACAAAAACAAGAAGAAAAACAATTTTTTTATAGGATTGCTGGATTTTCTGAAAATGGCAGTCAAGGCTTACTGAAAATATCTAAAAAAGATGTATGCAGTGTGGATGTAGAGAACACGTGGTACCGGCTCTCATCCTACTGCTTAACTAGCTATTAACAAGCCTATTATAGTATTAACAAATAAAATTAACTTTAATTTTAATTTTTTTTCTCCTAGTACTACTATTGCTTATCCCGAGCAAGCTTTTGCTCTTCGCTTGTCAGCAAGTTTACTTGTAGGCGTGGTAAGGATTTACGGAAGGCAAATAACTTATTTATGGAGTAAGTGTATAACTAAAACCGATAACAAGAAGAATTAAATTTCATAGTTTTTCTATGTTTACAAACAATAAATAATTGTGTCAAAATAAATTTTTTTACTAACAGAATAACAAAAATTTAAATTTTTATTAATTAAACACAAATTTTTAAAAATTAAATTAAAAGATTTATTATCGCAAACGCATTCGCTTCGGCCTAAAGTTGTAGCAAACCTCTTATAGTTTTATTATTACAAAAAATTATTATCTAAATTTTTAAAATTATTTTTATAAGAACTCAACTATAACAGAAGAGCGGAGTAAAATTTTTAAGTTTTTTAAAAAACTATCAATATTATTAAAGTAAAAGTTTTCTTATAGTTTATGCATAATTATAAAATAATAATAGTCTTATAAATATTAAGCACGTTTTTAATTTTGAATATTTTTTTTTTTTAGATGACTCCAAGCAAATTTGGACGGTGTTTAAAAAAAATACTAAAGATGCACTCCTCTTAAGAAATTCGAAAAACCAGTTCACTATATTATTAATATTAATAAAAGTTTATGTACTAATAAAGTTGCCATAATTTTTTAATTTTTTAAATTTATACAAAAAAGTAAAAATCTGACTCTAATAATAAATTTATAAATAAAAGTAACAATTTTTTCAAAAAAAAATTAAGTTACCTTATAGTAATTATAAAAATAATTAATTTCTTTAAATATGGAATAATAATTAAATTTTTTTTTTAAAATTAATTATTATTTATTTTTGAAATTATAAAGTTCAAGTAGAAATTTGAACGTAAAAAAATTATAAATTTTAATTAATAACTATTCTGAAGTCAATTATTATAATTTTAATTAATGAGAATTTTCATTGATTAGATTTTTATTTAATTATAATTTTTTTTTTCTAAAAGAGAAGAAAAAATAACTCTCCAAGTCCAAGAAAATAATTCGGGACTTCCTCTTTCAGGGATAACGCAGTTTTTAAAATACGATTCAAAATTTTTGGAGGAAATTTATAGTTATGAAGTTGGAAGAGGTAATATATAGTAATACTAAAATCAAATAATAGTATTGTTAATAATAAAAATAAAATATATTAATATTATTAATAATAGTAAATATAATAAAAAATTATGCAATTAAATTTAAAATTAAAAAAAATATTAAACAGTTAATTAAAATATAGAAATAATAAACTTTAGAGAAAAAGCAGTAAACAAATTATAAATTATGAATAATTTTTTTTAAATAAATATTGAATAAAAAAAAAGAATAATAAATATAAATAAATATTTTATAAATAATAATAAAGCAACTTATATTAATGAAAATATAAAATAAATGTAATATTAATAATAACTAATAAATTTATTAAAGATTGTTAAGTAAAATGAAGAATATATAAATACGAATAAATAATAACCAAAAATAATAAATTTAAAAAGTAATTAAAAAAAATTAATAGTAATAATAATTAAATAATAATATTAAACCAGTATTATGAAATAATTATAATATAAATATAGAAGTATTTATAAATAATAAATATAAAAATAAAAGCAAATATATAAATCATTTTAATAATACTAATAATAATATTAATAAACATTAATTAAATATTATCTATATATAACAATATTAAGTAAATATACATTTTTTTTGTGAAGATCAGAAACTGGAAGACGAATTTCAATGTGATTTAACAAATATTTCTTCTATTAATATAAATCTACAAGAAAATATTCCCAGCGAGAGACTACTGTAGTTTTATTATTATAATTTTTATTATTAATTTATCAAACTAAATAATTTAAATTATTATATTTACATATATTTTTATTACTATAAAATTTCTTATTATTTAAATTTTTGCTTGTAAAAATTTTACTCTTTTTATATTTAAATTTATTTATTTATTATTATTTTTGACTAAAAGTTAATAAAATTTATAGTTCACATTTTTTATGTTTATATATTTTTCATTTTTCCATTTCTATATTATTAAAAAAAAAATTTGTAAGCTAAATGTAAATTTAACATATTTCTATATCTTTATTTAATAACAATAAATTTATGTTATTTATTTAACTGTTATAAAAAGTTTATGAGCTCAATAATCTAAAATTAAATATATAATTTACATTTTTTTATTACTTTTATACATTTATTATTATATTTGAAAAAAAAATTCCATGCTAAATGCAAATTTTACATGTTTTTTTTTTTATATTTTTCTTTATAATTATATTTATAAAATTATTGAAATTATTATATTATTTTATGTATCAATAATTCAAAATATTTTATATATTTAAATTTTTTATTACTTTCATCTTTATATTATTAATTATTATATTGAAACAAAAAAGCTCAATGCAAATT